ACACACTAACTACAGTTAAAAGAGTGAAACCATAATCAGCCACACCTTTAAAGGTGTTATATGTAACTTTTCTACTAAAATGAATCCTTTTTTTATTGCCTGTGTGTGAAGGGGTTGTAATCACACATTAAAATGAGCCACTTGTCGGGTTTTGCTATTACCTCTGAAGGCCAGTATTCCTATTTCTATGTGAAGTCTCCGGGTCGGATTTACCGCGAAATCCAACGGATGTGACGTGCATGCGCTCCCGAGCCTCTCTCCTTATATAAAGTCTATTGTAGACGGTCAGGGAGTTACGTCCGGTTAAAGGCGCACGTTTTTCGGCTTATATCTCAGTCAATCTTTGATCAATATTCCCAAGACTCTAATCGTTCGTAGTGCTGGACGGTAGAGATGCGCGGATGGGCTATTATTTCATCCGCAACCGCATCACAAAACTCATCATCCGTCCGCCATCCGTCCGCACCAACGTTTTTGACCAATTTTCAAAACCGCACCCGCCCGCCATCCGCTGATTGGGCGATACAAGGCGCTGCTGATGACAGCCGCGAGACTAGAAAGCTCTCAGAATATCAGCAGTGAACTCCGTCTCCAATCGGTGCGCAGGGACAAAAATAAATAAATAGCCTAAATTAAACGCACTTCGGCAAACCTGACCTTATCTGATGGGCTACTGTACAATATTTTCATTGTCATTTTGGCACATCATTTCAACATGCTGCTATTGTATGGGGCGTGACAGTTCTCCATTACGGACGCGAACACTCAGAAAGCGGCACTAAAAGACTTTCAAACTTTCACAATAAAGCACAAAGCCTTTCTTTAAAGCGAATTTCGTTTTGTATTAATTGTATCTTCATTTTAATCCATGTTTCATTAACCAATTTCCTGGATTTAATAAATAGGCTAAAAAGTAAATAGTCTATCTTGATTGTGTAGGCTATTTTTCATTATAAAATATTAGGCTGTGTATACCGACATGGATCAATTATTAATATTAGATTTCATCTGTCTTTTGTAGGCATAGATGGCGCACCAAAGAGTGACTTCGGCGTTTCTTTAATATCAAGGCTCTATAGTTTATTATATGATTGATAGGCCTGTTGATGGTATAAAATTAATTGCACTGTGCCTGAAAAAGACGCGGTCTCCGCTCACTTCCCGTGCATTCAAAATTAACGGGAGTCTTCAGAACAGGCTCGTCCAGCGTCAACAGCACCGAACTTAGCTCCAATGTCAATCAACGTCTGGGCCACTTGGTGGAATCCTTTACCAGAAAAAATATCGAACTGGCGCATATCAAGAGAGCGCACAACTTATTCCAGGCAACACTTTTCTGACCTTCTATTTCCTTTGTTTTTAATTCTCCTTTTTTTGAGTTTGTCACGTAGCTACCTCCTTCGCCGGCGTTGCCATCTCTGATAACAACAAGCAGTCTCTGCATAGACTCGACTAGCTGATGAAAATTTGACTATTTCAAAGTGTGCTCGATTTTTTTTTGGATGTAGGTATAGTCATATAACAATATTTAACAATGTATATTTTTTCATTTGATTGGTTCAACCGCCCGCCAACCGCCCGAATTTAATTAAAATATTTTTTTTCATCCAGTCATCCGCCCGATCCGCGGTTTATCCGCGGAGTCCGCGGCTGTAACCGCCAACCGCGCATCTCTACTGGACGGGGCCTTTCGAACGAGCCCACCCCCGAGGTCCAACTCGCCCGGCTCCCCGAGTTATAGCCGTTCGAAATCGGGGGTCCCAGCGAACGGCGATCCGGTAGGGGGCATCCCCGAGGCCCGCCACTCTAGCGTTCGGGCAAGGGTTCCCCTGGGACCTCCTCCCCCGAATTTGAGCTCTCTGGGTCTTTGCGTTCCAGAGATACGAGCGATTTTCTTCTGAGATCGTGACGTCACCGGCGTCCGCAATTTTGCAGCGCGCCCGATGGTTTTCTGCTAATATCTCCGCGAAAACACCACCAAAAACTATGGAACTTATATGGTTCTTTTCAGCTCGACTAGATGGTCCCAACGAGCTCGGTGCTCGCCGAATCCATCTAGTATTCGCCGAGATATTTCCGTAAAAGACGGTATTGTCTATGAGTTCGAGCACGAGCGCTCTTGTAAAATTTGGTTGCAATCTGAAACATCACCACTAGAGGCCGCTAAAAGTTACGTAGAGCACCTTTAAAGGTGTATAAGTGGTTTATAAGTCCTTATGGGGTTTTTACTTCCGGAACAGGCTCAACCAATCACAATCAAGGAGTGAAGAGCTGTTTTTCAATCTTGTGCACTAAAGAACGAGAACTTGTGACGGTTTGCTTGATTAAAGTCTGGATCGGTGTGTTTGACCAATGAATGCACAGACACACACGCACACACACACACTTCTGGATGTCGAGTCTGAAGGTTTATTAATCCTTCTGTAGTTTGAAGAGAGTATATATACTAGGCTCTATAAAGACATATATAGGAGAAAAAATGCAAAAGAAACCAGGGTTTGTCAAGTGCTTTTTACTTCAGCTCATCAATAGCTTTTTCAACAATTGCAAATACCTCGTCCACCGGCAGCTCAGAGTTTATCTGGAGGAGGAGAGAGAAACATTCATGTAGAAAACAATGATGTAGAAATAGCGTAATGATGTACAAATAGCGTAATGATGTAGAAATAGCGTAATGACGTAGAAATAGTGTAATGATGTAGAAATAGCGTAATGACGTAGAAATAGTGTAATGATGTAGAAATAGCGTAATGACGTAGAAATAGCGTAATGACGTAGAAATAGTGTAATGATGTAGAAATATCGTAATGATGTAGAAATAGCGTAATGATGTAGAAATATCGTAATGATGTAGAAATAGCGTAATGATGTAGAAATAGCGTAATGACGTAGAAATAGCGTAATGACGTAGAAATAGTGTAATGATGTAGAAATAGTGTAATGATGTAGAAATAGCGTAATGACGTAGAAATAGCGTAATGACGTAGAAATAGTGTAATGATGTAGAAATAGCGTAATGATGTAGAAATAGCGTAATGATGTAGAAATAGCGTAATGATGTAGAAATAGCGTAATGACGTAGAAATAGTGTAATGATGTAGAAATAGCGTAATGATGTAGAAATAGCGTAATGATGTAGAAATAGCGTAATGACGTAGAAATAGCGTAATGACGTAGAAATAGTGTAATGATGTAGAAATAGCGTAATGACGTAGAAATAGCGTAATGACGTAGAAATAGCGTAATGATGTAGAAATAGTGTAATGATGTAGAAATAGTGTAATGATGTAGAAATAGTGTAATGATGTAGAAATAGCGTAATGACGTAGAAAATAGCGTAATGACGTAGAAATAGCGAGCGTAATCATGTAGAAATAGCGTAATGATGTAGAAATAGCGTAATGACGTAGAAATAGCGTAATGACGTAGAAATAGCGAGCGTAATGATGTAGAAATAGCGTAATGACGTAGAAATAGCGTAATGACGTAGAAATAGTGTAATGATGTAGAAATAGCGTAATGACGTAGAAATAGCGTAATGACGTAGAAATAGCGTAATGATGTAGAAATAGTGTAATGATGTAGTGTAATGATGTAGAAATAGTGTAATGATGTAGAAATAGCGTAATGATGTAGAAATAGCGTAATGACGTAGAAATAGTGTAATGATGTAGAAATAGCGTAATGACGTAGAAATAGCGAGCGTAATGATGTAGAAATAGCGTAATGACGTAGAAATAGCGTAATGACGTAGAAATAGTGTAATGATGTAGAAATAGCGTAATGACGTAGAAATAGCGTAATGACGTAGAAATAGCGTAATGATGTAGAAATAATGTAATGATGTAGAAATAGTGTAATGATGTAGAAATAGTGTAATGATGTAGAAATAGCGTAATGATGTAGAAATAGCGTAATGACGTAGAAATAGCGTAATGATGTAGAAATAGCGAGCGTAATGATGTAGAAATAGCGTAATGACGTAGAAATAGCGTAATGACGTAGAAATAGTGTAATGATGTAGAAATAGCGTAATGACGTAGAAATAGCGTAATGACGTAGAAATAGCGTAATGATGTAGAAATAGCGTAATGACGTAGAAATAGCGTAATGACGTAGAAATAGTGTAATGATGTAGAAATAGCGTAATGACGTAGAAATAGCGTAATGACGTAGAAATAGTGTAATGATGTAGAAATAGCGTAATGACGTAGAAATAGCGTAATGACGTAGAAATAGCGTAATGATGTAGAAATAGTGTAATGATGTAGAAATAGTGTAATGATGTAGAAATAGCGTAATGATGTAGAAATAGCGTAATGACGAAGAAATAGTGTAATGATGTAGAAATAGCGTAATGACGTAGAAATAGCGAGCGTAATGATGTAGAAATAGCGTAATGACGTAGAAATAGCGTAATGACGTAGAAATAGTGTAATGATGTAGAAATAGCGTAATGACGTAGAAATAGCGTAATGATGTAGAAATAGTGTAATGATGTAGAAATAGTGTAATGATGTAGAAATAGTGTAATGATGTAGAAATAGCGTAATGATGTAGAAATAGCGTAATGATGTAGAAATAGCGAGCGTAATGATGTAGAAATAGCGAGCGTAATGATGTAGAAATAGTGTAATGATGTAGAAATAGTGTAATGATGTAGAAATAGTGTAATGATGTAGAAATAGCGTAATGATGTAGAAATAGCGTAATGATGTAGAAATAGCGTAATGACGTAGAAATAGCGTAATGACGTAGAAATAGCGTAATGATGTAGAAATAGTGTAATGATGTAGAAATAGTGTAATGATGTAGAAATAGCGAGCGTAATGATGTAGAAATAGTGTAATGATGTAGAAATAGTGTAATGATGTAGAAATAGCGTAATGATGTAGAAATAGCGTAATGACGTAGAAATAGCGTAATGACGTAGAAATAGCGAGCGTAATGATGTAGAAATAGCGTAATGACGTAGAAATAGCGTAATGACGTAGAAATAGTGTAATGATGTAGAAATAGCGTAATGACGTAGAAATAGCGTAATGACGTAGAAATAGCGTAATGATGTAGAAATAGTGTAATGATGTAGAAATAGTGTAATGATGTAGAAATAGCGTAATGACGTAGAAATAGCGTAATGACGTAGAAATAGTGTAATGATGTAGAAATAGCGTAATGACGTAGAAATAGCGTAATGACGTAGAGATAGTGTAATGATGTAGAAATAGTGTAATGATGTAGAAATAGCGTAATGACGTAGAAATAGCGTAATGACGTCGAAATAGTGTAATGATGTAGAAATAGCGTAATGACGTAGAAATAGCGTAATGACGTAGAAATAGCGAGCGTAATGATGTAGAAATAGCGTAATGACGTAGAAATAGCGTAATGACGTAGAAATAGCGTAATGATGTAGAAATAGCGTAATGACGTAGAAATAGCGAGCGTAATGATGTAGAAATAGCGTAATGACGTAGAAATAGAGTAATGATGCTGAAATAGCGCAATGCTGTAGAAATAGCGTAATGCTGTAGTAATAGCGTAATGATGTAGAAATTCATCAATCGGAATGAATTCAGTCGGATTGAAGCTAAAGTTGTGCGTGTAAACGTAGCCAGTGAGATGTTTTGCTGAATGATGTTTCAGGAGAATGTAACGCCTCGTCACCTTCCTCACGATGCCGCGCTTCTCGTAGAAAGCGATGACGGGTTCGGTGGCTTTGTAATACAGATCCAGTCTCTTCTTAATAGTCTCCTCGTTGTCGTCGGCTCGGCCGCTGGTCTCTCCGCGCTTCATGAGTCTCTTCACCATCGTCTCGCCCTTCGCATCGATGTACAACAGCAGAGCCGGAGCGCCGATCTGAGCCAACACACACACACACACACACACACACGAGATTCATGACTTACTCATGATAGAACTACACTGCAAAAAATGCTTTTCTTACTTAGTATTTTTGTCTTGTTTCCAGTCCAAATATCTCAAATTTCTTAAATCAAGAAGCATTTATTAGATAAGTAAATGACATAAGAAATTAAATCTTGTTTTCTGGAGAATTTAGAATTCTTAATTCAAATGGAAAACAAGATCATTTTTCTTACCCCATTGGCAGATAATTTTGCTTGTTTTAAGCAAAAACTCACTTTTAATTTAGTTTTTTTTTTTTTTAAACAAGATATAATTTGTTATGTAATTTTACTCAAACTGAATTGTACTGTATTTTACATGCAAAAAAAAAAAAAAAATCAACCCTAAAATGCAGTGAAATTTCTGCTATATTCAATTATATTGTGTGGTTTATTACAAGACATCAGTTATCAATTTAATTTATAACTTCCAATACTAACATAATGTAGCGCTTTAGGCTTTGGCTTTGAGTTAATGATGGTAAATGAAGATCTGAATGTCTATGTTGATGACAGATGATGGGAAATGATTAGTTGTTCTACCTTCTTCTCGAACTCCTCTCCCTGTTTGACTTCTCGAGGGTATCCGTCGATCAGGTAACCCTTCGAGACGTCCGCCTTGGCGATCATGGCGTCCTTGATCATGTCCAGGACCGTGTCCTGCAGAGAGCAGAGTATCATCAGAACGTGAACATGCGGATGCTCTTATTGTCCTTCCCTTTACAGTGGCAGCCAGGGTTTGAAATGAACTTTTTCACGGCTAATTTGGCTACTAAATATTTAAGTTACCGGCCATTCAGAACTTCTACTAGCCAAAAATAAATAAACAAACCAGATTAACTACGTCACAGCTTATATATATACTATGGAACTATGGAAGCTTGTTTCCGCCACAGAATGAAAAATAAAAAAGGTAATTGCGACTTTTTATCTCACAATTGCGAGTTTACATCTCGCAATTCTGAGATGTAAAGTCAGAAATTGCGAGATGTAAAGTCAGAATTGTGTGAAATAAAGTTACAATTGCGTGTTGTTAAGTCAGAATAATGAGATATAAACTCGCAATTGCGAGAAAAATACTTGAAATTCTGACTTTTTCTCTCAGAATTGCATGTTTATATCTCGCAATTATGACTTTATAATACGCAATTGGGAGATATAAAGTCAGAATTGCGTGAAATAAATTCGCAATTGCGAGAAAAAAAGTCAGAATTGTTAGTTTTTTCTCTCGCAATTCTGACTTTATAACACGCAATTGCGACTTTATTTCATGCAATTCTGACTTTATTTCTCACGAATTCTGAATTCATATCTGATATATCATTCATATCAGAATTGTGTGTTTAAATATCGCCATTCTGTCTTTTTTTCTCGCAATTGCGACTTTATTTCTCAGAATTGCGACTTTATATCTCGCAATTACGACTTTATTTCTCAGAATTGCGACTTTATATGTCAGAATTGCGACTTTATTTCTCAGAATTGCGACTTTATTTCTCAAAATTGCGACTTTATATCTAAGAATTGCGACTTTATTTCTCAGAATTGCGACTTTATATCTCAGAATTGCGACTATTTCTCAAAATTGCGACTTTATTTCTCAGAATTGCGACTTTATATCTCAAAATTGCGACTTTATATCTAAGAATTGCGACTTTATTTTTCAGAATTGCAACTTTATATCTCGGAATTGCGACTATTTCTCAAAATTGCGACTTTATTTCTCAGAATTGCGCAATTGTGAGATAAAAAGTCGATATATAAAAAATATATATATATTCAGTGGCGGAAACAAGCTTCCATAATATACAGGTGAAACTCGAAAAATTTGAATATCGTGCAAAAGTTCATTTATTTCAGTAATTCAACTTAAAAGGTGAAACTAATATATTATATAGACTCATTACATGCAAAGTGAGATATTTCAAGCCTTTATTTGTTATAGTTTTGATGATTATGGCTTATAGCTTATGAAAACCCCAAATTCAAAATTAGAATATTGTGCAAAGGTTTTCAAACCCGGCTTTACACGAACTTCCCCAGCAAAGTGAGTAAACATAATAAGTAACACGCCAAATTGGCTCGTGATTTGACAGCGTTACTAGTTGATTTTAACCCGCATTTGGCATGTGTTAATTGAAACCCAGACGCGCACTGACCAGAGGCACGAGTTCTCCTTTCTGCATGATGGCCTGCAGCTGTTTTCCCCTGTCGGAGCCGGACGCCACCTCGGCTCGCAGAAGGTCACCTGAGGACAGGTGTGTGTAGCCGTACTTCGCCACGATCTTCTCACACTGGGTGCCTTTCCCAGACCCGGGGCCGCCTGACCACACGGAGAGAGAAACACGGATCATTTACTTTAAAAGAGTCTCTTCTGCTCACCAAGGCTGCATTTATTTGATAAAAAATACTGTAAAAATGTGAAATATTATTGTTATTTAAAATATCAGTTTTTTATGTAAATATATAGTACAGTGTAATTTATTCCTGAATTTTCAGCATCATTACTCCAGTCTTCAGTGTCACATGATCCTTCAGAAAACACTCTAATATGAGGATTTGATGCTCAGGAAAAATGTATGATTATTATCAGTGTTGCAAACTGCTTTATATATATATTTATATATATATATATATATATATATATATATTTTTTTTTTTTTTTTTTTTTTTTTACCGTGATACATTTCCATTCAAAAGTTTGGGGTAAGTTAGTTTTAAAAAATAGACCCATTAAATTGATCAAAAGTGACAGTAAAGACATTTATAATGTTACAAAAGATTATATTTCTAATAAATGCTGTTCTTTTGAACTTTTTATTCATAAAATAATCCTAAAAAATAAAATGTATTAGTTTCCACAAAAATAGCAACTGTTTTGAACATTGATAATAATCATAAATGTTTCTTGAGCATCAGATCCTCATATTAGAGTGATTTCTGGAGGATCATGTGACACTGAAGACTGGAGTAATGATGCTGAAAATTCAGCTTTAAATCACAGGAATAAATTACACTTTACTATATATTCACATAGAAGACAGCTGATTTACACTGGAATAATATTTCACTATTTTTACTGTATTTTTGATCATAGATGCAGCCTTGGTGAGCAGAAGAGACTCTATCAAAAACATTAAAAATCTTAATTATTCCATATGTTTGAACAGTGTACATTGTAAAAAAAAAAAACTTAAACATAAATTCAATCACACTGAAAAAATGCGGGTTATACTTTACAAAGTTGTAAAATGTAAAAGTAACTCAACTTACCCACGACAAAGACGATCTTAGCATTTTTAATTTTATCTGTGAAACAACAAATCCATTCAAATTAGTCCAAATGTAACGTCTGAATCAACAGAGGCTGCATTTCTATTATTATCAGGCTATTGTGTGGAAATACTGATCATCTGAGATCTCAGTCCTATCAAACTCTCTTGGGATCTGAAGTTTTGAATGTTTCTGGCCGAATACTTCACCCTCTGGTTTCGCCACAGCGATTGCTAATTTACTTGAACATCCCGGCCCCATTTTCTGACACACACTTTCCTTCAGGTAGATCTGAATGCTTGAGGTCGGTCGCCATGGCAACTATTACCAACATCTCCCATGGCAACAGTGAAGAGCTTCACAAAACAGGTTTGACCCTGAACTCTGTAAAATCTGTCCATTAATATGTACAGTCAAACCAAAAATTATTCAGACACCAGATATAATTTTTATATATTTTTACTAGTGTGATCAGGACACTATAGTTCATTTATGTAAGTGAGGAGAGCAAAATAAAGTAAACTGTGACATATTATACCCAAATATTCTTCATACAGTGACTACCAGTAATATTTATACAAATTTGGGATCAAAAATTATTCTTTGAGCTGACCATGTTTTGCTGAAGTGTGTTTTCTGTAATTGCTAATGCTCTTTTTACACACACACTGAACAACATGAAGCATTGCTTGGTCACTGGTTGAGCTAAACTGGTATTATCTAATTGTGTAGTTAAATTTAACAGCTGACAGATATTCAACATAATTCATGTGTGAGAGTCTAACAGAAGGACGGACAAAACCAGTCAAATATCAACTGATCTGAGAACTCTGAGTTCTGCTCATATTTTAATACCATTTTCTAAACTATAGCGAATAAACTGTGATAATGTGAGAAAAGTTGATGGTGTCTGAAATTTGGTTTGACTGTATATTCACGAGGTACCCAGATGTACATTTCTTCAACACAATCTATAATTTATCAAATATGAAATTCATTCACAGACATTAAAAAATAAATAAACAATTAAAGTAGCCTGCAGTTTAGCGGTAGCCTATGTGCTTATTTTTGGTCAGTAAACAACAACTTCTCGATTAACATCATGTTCTCTTCAATAAGGGTGTCGAATCTATCCGAAATCATATTTACTCTCACTTCTATATTAATCATAAGTAATTATTCAATAAAAAGATAGATCGATAAACGAATGCTAGTCAGTCAGCCAGTAAAACGAAACGACCGTTAATTTAAATATTAACGGTCGTTTCGTTACGGGCGCGGTTTTCTGTGGAAGACGAGAAAGCGCGTGCAGTAAGTAGATATTTTACTATATAAGTAAGTTAATATTTTAGCTATAAATTTGGATTTATCTGATCATTACAACACGTTTTAATTTAGCCTACCTCATTTTAACATAAATGCTACAGGTATTAAACTAATTTCAGAGCTCTGTATTGGTCATCATTACACAAAAACATCTGCAACGTTTTAATTGGTAAGTTATTTTCCATGGTTATTATACTAACCTAAAAAATAACCATTAGGGAACGTTCTGTTAATTTTTTAGGCTATTAAAAATAGCCACCCTGCAACGTTCTGGGAACCTTGGTTTATAAGAACGTAGAACGTTTTTATTCGGTTCTCAAATAAATAAATAAAACAGGTTCACTCAAAAATAGGTTATATTTGTATGCAATTTTTTTCAATTTCTTGTTATCAATAACTCCAAATTGAGTAGTTGTATGTGTAATTTTCCCTCTTTCTCGTTCCTGTCTTAATTATTACCACTGTATATAATAGAGACTACTGTAAGAGCCTCTTGCAATACAACGAATGTCCACACGAGGTCACCAGAGGCCATAACATTTCGATGACAAATGATAAGACGTTTATTTATCGGTTTATTCGTTATAGCATCTATTTATCAGTTAGCCTTAGCGATATTTCTGTTTGTCATTGACATTAATTCGCACAGTGATCCAGTAGGACAGTCCCGAATGTGTATGTGTGTGTAAAGGTCAGTTTCTCCATCTGTTTGGCTCTTCCTGAAGGATTGTGATTCCTCACACGTCTGCTTTTAACAACCTCTCAATCTCTCTTTCATTCAAGGGACTGACTCCATAAAACAATCGCCAATGTACGTCCAATAAATCCATAAAATATTGTAGAGGAAAGAAATTCTGCTCACCTGCCATGGTTGTCTGTTATGTGAGAGATTATCCTGCAATAAAAGACAAAAAAATTAGTCCAAGTAAAGACGGGACTACTTGTAATGTAGATTTGAAGTCTTGTCACTCATTCTCTAATGAACCTCCACCAGTCCGTTCAAAATCATGTCGGATGTGAGCAGATAATAACAAAACAAAAACCGAAACGAATCACAGAATTAAACGAGCTGTTTTGTGCTGCTGTGCCTTTAAGACTAGCCTACTGTCTACACGCGTTAGGCGGAAGAACATTGTTTTGGTTGTGCTTCGGCTCTGCGCGGATAGATGAATGCAGTTCGACGGTGTACACGAGCAGATGGACACAATTTATTTTTGTTTTTATAACCCATGATTCTTCGGGAGGTTTTGAATGATCCGTGGTCAATTCCTCTCGTTCGTTGTGACCACAGATTGTCAGCTTTTTTCTACCCACTGCTGATCTAGAGATATCACGTGACCCGCGGAGACGCACGTATGCAACGTATGCACCCTACAGCTCTAAAATTTAAATAATCATTATAGGTTTATAGACATGATTTGCAGGGTATCAGCTGCTCACACAGATAGGCAGAAACACGACAAGCTTTCACACTTCTTTACCACATTTGACTGTTTTCAGTAGTGCTTATGGGGCACCAGATAAAATCTTGCCTAGGGCAGCAAATTGGTCATGGCCGAGTCTGCACATGCGCATAACCAGTAAGTAGCAAATCTCGATAGGTAGCATGAATCGTCAGAACACCGGCCCTGATCAACACATGAGGACATTTGCACTGTGCAAAGATAAACAGTGCAAATGTGCTCATGTTTTGATCTGTGTAGTTTAGTTACAATAAATGCTCTTTCTGGCAGTTTTGAGTCTTGAAAGTTACAGTATGTTTCTGTAGTTCAGGTTACAATGGGGCTAAAAGAACACAAATGTGCTTTACACTCCTCCCATAGTGTATGATTGCAGAAAAAATATATGTTTTTATCTAACATAACCGATTTTGTGTGAAAATAAATCATAAAAGTGGTTTATTTTGTTTAAAAATCGTATAAATGTATGAGGTGGGAAGGTCTTTTACAGACACTTGTAAAAGACAGTACTACTGACTGATACAATTAATTTAGCTAAAATAATGTTTTTAATAATGTCTATGTTAATACTTGTTCAAAACAACCACTTTAGCAAAGTTTGTTCTATTTTCTGTTTATTTTGACAAATGAAAGAATTATTTATTGTTCAATAAATACACTGTCATTGATTTCAATGTTAATGTAAAAAAAAATATTTTTAAAAAATACTAAAACTAAATTATTTTAAAAAGTTGGCCTAAAGATTCTGAACGCATTGAAGGAGATCCCATTATAATTTAATGTAGCTTTACAGTAGTAACAATAAAGGATATGATGATTAATATTTTTAAATATGATGGTTTTATTATAAATATGGTGATTATCTCTAAAGTGGACACCCAACTTAATATATGATATTTAGCATCTGAATCTAACCATGTCAACAAATGGAAAAGTCAGCCGTCTAACATTTGTAAATATACAAGTGAAACTCGAACAATTAGAATATTGTGCAAAAGTTCGTTTATTTCAGTAATTCAACTTAAAAGGTGAAACTAATATATTATATAGACTCATTACAAGCAAAGTGAGATATTTCAAGCCTTTATTTGTTATAATTTTGATGATTATTGTGTACAGCTTATGAAAACCCCAAATTCAAAATTGTAAGCTGTAAGCCATAATCATCAAAATTATAACAAATAAAAGCTTGAAATATCTTACTTTGCATGTAATGAGTCTATATAATATATTAGTATCACCTTTTAAGTTGAATTACTGAAATAAACGAACTTTTGCACAATATTAAAAATTTTCGAGTTTCACCTGTATATTATGGAAGCTTGTTTCCGCCACTGAATAATTTTTTTTTAAATTGCGACTTTTTATCTCACAATTGCGACTTTTCGCAATTCTGAGAAATAAAGTCGCAATTCTGAGAAATAAAGTCGCAATTCTGAGAAATAAAGTCGCAATTCTGAGATATAAAGTCGCAATTCTGAGAAATAAAGTCGCAATTCTGAGATAATAAAGTCGCAATTCTGAGAAATAAAGTCGCAATTCTGAGAAATAAAGTCGCAATTCTGAGATATAAAGTCGCAATTCTGAGAAATAAAGTCGCAATTCTGAGATAATAAGTCGCAATTCTGAGAAAGTCGCAATTCTGAGATATAAAGTCGCAATTCTGAGAAATAGTCCCAATTCTGAGAAATAAAGTCGCAATTCTGAGAAAGTCGCAATTCTGAAAAATTTTGCACAATATTCTAATTGTTCGAGTCTCACCTGTATATTTACAAATGTTAGACGGACATCCAACTAAAACATTTCTAAACGTTCCATAGATGATGTTTTTTGTGCTTACGTTTTGAGAACATAATTTAAACGTTATTCCGGAATGTTCTCCAAACATACAGTTTTTAATATGTTATTTCATCTCTATGTGAACATTCCATTTCATCATTATTCAAACATTATGGGAATAATGTTACTTTTGAATGTTCTCTGAACGTTCCGAAACAAGTCGTTACATTTAAACAACGTCCAATTGAAACGTTCGCTGTATAAATAATGTTTTTGTGCAAATGTTTGTGCAAAAGACCAGATAACTTTGAACGAACACTTTATTAACGTTACTGACTGTAAGAAAGTTTGTTCATAGCGTTGAAAGAAGGTTCCCTGTTATCAGGGTCTGTACCTTTAAATCAAACACTGGATTAAGAGGCTCTATGAGAAGCTTATGAACAAACATGACATATTTGAGCTGTCACTTTGACGGGTCACGCCTCAAACCCAGAACAGGAACACACAGCTAACAGAGGATATGAGCGTTACTGTAAACAGCATAAAGGCGACTGGAATTCAAAACTCTCAAACTCTTTATTCATTCTCATTTATTTATACTCAGTTATTGCTGCAGAGGTATTTAATGCTCTGTTTATGCATATAATTCTACTTCACATCATGCATATAGAGTTCAGCCTGCAGTTTAACTAATGCATGTTAGCAAGTGTATAAAGACTAGGTTACTGACACTCTCACACCACAGGATTTATGACAGCATAAAGACTCTAAGAGAGAGAGACGGTTATTATAAAGAGCGTGTCTTACTGTTCCGAGAGCTCGGCTGAGATACTCTGTCTCGGCGGGTCTGATGGCAAGTGTAAACAGATCCTTTTCTCTTGGTCATGTGACCCGCAACACTTCTCATGCAAATGCTGCGCTCTAGACTCGAGGCTGGTCTTTCTGCTCTTTGCTTTTAGTTTGAAAGAGAGGCACTACTTTAATGAAGATGAATATCGTCCCGTGTGCATGATCTCTGCTCACAGCTGGAGCTTTTGCTGTGGCTTTGAGACAACTGTGTCAAAGACTGATTTTCATATAAGACGTTAGTGAATTAAAGGGAGAGAGTAATGTGCCCGGATCTATTGTTAGCTCTGACCTTTAACCCCATAACTGTTTGAATTAGGGCTGCACGATTTGGGGAAAATGTCATATTGCGATTATTGAGGTCAATATTGCGATATGCGATTGCGATATAATAAACAAATGGTCAGATTAGTGATAATTCTGAAATGTGTATTTCTCAACTCAAACTAGCAACAACAACTAAATGATTGATAACACCTATAATGATCAATAAGCCATTGATGTCTGGATACAAATTAATTTAATTTTAATTTAAGTGAACTTCAAACAATCCTCACATAAACCCATAATAAATGTCATATTTACCTGTGCTCTTCCTGTCTAACAGGACATATACAGAAATTGAAAAAAGTTATCAAACAGTCTGCACTGCATAAATTATAAATTATATGGACTAAAATCCTATTTAAAGCTACACAAGTTCTTTGGTCAAGAGCAGTGAGTGTTTTTCTCTGTTCCCTTTGTTCTTTGATTAACTTTACTGACAGAAAGCATTATTGGATGCTGGCCCTTTAAGAGTTGCTGACAGAGACGCGGATCTCACACGCGCCTTATTCTCTCACAACTCTTTACGACCATCATAAGACTGCTCTTGTGTTATGAAGACACTCGACAAATGATATTTTGGCATAATTGTGTGTGTTATTGTTCGTTCACTTCAAGCGGAAAGAGAACTGTATTCTGGCGCGCGGTCTGCGCATGCGCATGATACTGGCGCGCGTCTTTCAGTCAGGACCCTATGGTCAGGACACACACAGGCAGCGCGCTCTCTTTTGCCAAAGGATGACAAAAAATAACAGATGCTACGTTGTTTATTTCATATAAAATCGCAGTATTTTGCGTCATATAATCGCATAGGCTTGACATCGCGATTGCGATATGATTAATCGTGCAGCACTAGTTTGAATGCAACACAAAATGTGTTTTAAGATCATGACATTGTTGTATTATTATTATGATGATTTGACATGTCTTTGAACACAAAAATATGTTTTAAGAACGTTTAAGCGCTTCCATTAAGTTAGAGAAATGTTTTTTCCCGGAATGTTCTCCAAACATACAGTTTAAAAACGTTTTTTCTTGGTCATGTGAACATTCCATTTCATCATTCTTTGAACAGTATGGGAATGTTACTTTTGAATGTTCTCTGAACGTTCCGAAACAAGTCGTTACATTTAAAAAACGTTTGATTGTTAACGTTTTGAGGACGTTATTAAAGATCAGATAACTTTGAACGAACGTTCTATTAATGTTACTGGAAGAACGTTTGTTGATAACATTAATTGAGAGGAACGTTCCCTGTCGCTGGGATATAAGGTACAAACAACTGTACAAGACTCACAATTACTTAGTTACTAAGAGACTTATAGGCTCAAACACATTGCAAAGTATGTACAGTCAAACCCGCATTTATTCAGACACCTTCTCACATTATCACAGTTTATTCACTACAGTTTAGAAAATGGTAATAAAACATGATAAATCAGTGGATGTTTGACTGGTTTTGTCCGTCCTTCTGTTAGACTCTCACACATGAATTATGTTGAATATCTGTCAGCTGTTAAATTTAACTCCACAATTAGATAATACCAGTTTAGCTCAACCAGTGACCAAGCAATGCTTCATGTTGTTCAGTGTGTGTGTAAAAAGAGCATTAGCGATTACAGAAAACACACTTCAGCTGTTATTTACCTCACAGTTTACTCTATTTGAATTGCTATAAACTATAGTGTCCTGCACACACTAGTTAAAACATATCAAAAATGATATCTGGTGTCTGAATAATATTTGGTTTGACTGTAACTGTATATTTTTAGAAAATGTACAGGTGAAACTCTTAGAATATCGTGCAACAGTTCATGTATTTCAGTAATTCAAATTAAAAGGTGAAACTTGTATATTTAGTATATAACTAGCATGACCATACTTTTCAGAGGGCCGACATTTCTGTATTTAAAATCCTTTTTTAAATTGATTTCATTTAATATTCAAATTTTCTGAGATTTTGAATTTGGGGTTTGCATAAGCTATAAACCATAATCATCAAAATGATCACTTTTGCACAATATTCTCGTTTTTTGAGTTTCACGTGTATGTTGTGGCGACCGTTGTAGATGAACCCACAAGTCTGCTCATGTTTCCTTGCAAATATTGAAATATAAGGAAGTTACCTTTAAAAATCCTAATCGCTTCCTCGTCTAGTGTTGGTTTTGTCAGCACTGTAATAACTATGGTATGCATTGAAACCAAGAGAGATTATCGCGTATAAAGTCTGAGTTTCTGATATGTACACTCGAGTAAAACACCAGACGCAAGTGCTTCTGAAAAGCCACTTTTGGTGTAAAAATGTTTGTTAAAGATAATTTTGCAGATTGTTCTCACCCAGAACTGGACTTGCAGTGCGATATCTGTGTTTTGTGAAGTATTATGTAACGAGTGCTCTGATCTTTCCTCCAGTTGCTGTGAGATGGTTTATGACCCCGGGTCACGGTAAATGTCACCGAAGGCCTGAATCAGCGCTGGACGCTTTAGGACTCGCGCTCGGGCCAATTATGGGGATTTTGATGGACTCTACGGCATGTGAGACTGTTGTTCTGGCGTTTACTGGTATGAATATGGCCTTATACATGTTAAATTGTAGTATATACAGTTCAGAGTTATGAACTACAGTACAGTATGTGTGTCATTCCCTGGAAACGCTGGGTTTTGTGGCCCGTTTATGACTTACAGCTTGTGTAATTAATTAAAATAAGATTTCAATGTTTAGTGTGTCGTGCAAAAGACATTAAAACAAAGCATTCATTTTAGTTTTAAATGTTTGTTTCACATTGGAATATCAGCAATACGGCCACATGTATCCTTAAAAGTATAAATGACATACAAATAAATGAAAAATATTGCAGTCATTCTGGCTGAAACTTGAGCTTTGAAAATGTATTATTAAAATACTATAATATATTAATAGATATATTAACATATTAATATTAATGCATACTTTTTAATTTTATGAATAGAGACAAACTCCAACACACTGTACAATTTTACATATATATATATACACAATTATATTAATTATAATATCATTTCTATGTATTATATATATATATATATATATATAAATAATGCTGCTGAAGGCACAAGTCTAGTTATGTTTCATTTCAAATACTGAAATATAAGGATATTACTTTTAAAACTGTTTTATTTATTTGTTTTATTAACCATTTTCTGAGACCCATTTAAACTTAAAAGCAAAGCTAAAGATGCAGTAAGGCGTCGCACCAAAATTAGTGAAAGTTTAGAAAGGTTAGGATGGACTTAGATTATGTAACATTTGGGAAATCACTAAGTTTTCGGCTTCTAGAGAGCGTAACGGATCCGTGTCAGCGTGTGTGTGTGTGTGTGTGTGTGTGTGTGTGTGTGTGGGCAGCTGGAGTCGCAGAACTGTAATAGTTTCTATATAAAGCTGGTGTGAGTGTGAGTCTCAGCAGCTGCTCGTGCTTCAGTCCCTCACACTGATCACTCATGGCTCTCACTTAAACATCCTGCATTTGTAAATAATATATATATTTTTTTTTTCATTGTCATTGTAGTGAAAATTTCCCATGATTGCTTTAAAAATAGAGCATTCCTTAAAATTTTGATGCACAGGAAGTGACATCATATGCAGAATATATATATATGTTCTCAGTTTTAATTCAAATTGTGTGTGTTTTTTTGCTTCATTTGCCAAGTTATTAAAGATAAATGATTAAAGAAATAATTATTGTTAATAGAAGTTAAAGTAACAAATTTTCCTAAATTATATAATATAATATAAAAGTTCATTTAAATATTGTAAATAAAATTTTAAATAAATGTAATAAAAAAAAAATATTAACCTTATAATATATATATATATATATGTGTATATATATATATATATATATATATATGATCAAACAAATAGTTCTTGTTAATAGAAGTTGATGAATAACTTCAAAATAACATTTACTCCTAAATAATATTATATAATAAGTTAATTTAAATATTGTAATTAAAATTGTAAATAAATGTAATAAAAAATAAACATTCATTTTTTAATATTTTATATACAGGTGAAACTCGAAAAATGAGAATATCGTGCAAAAGTTAATTTATTTCAGTAATTCAACTTAAAAGGTGAAAATAATATATTATATAGACTCATTACATGCAAAGTGAGATATTTCAAGCCTTTATTTGTTATAATTTTGATGATTATGGATTACAGCTTATGAAAACCTTTCACAATATTCTAATTTTGATTTGGGGTTTTCATAAGCTGTAAGCCATAATCATCAAAATTATAACAAATAAAGGCTTGAAATATCTCACTTTGCATGTAATGAGTCTATATTATATATTAGTTTAATCTTTTAAGTTGAATTACTGAAATAAACAAACTTTTGCACGATATTCACATTTTTTCGAGTTTCACCTGTATAAATTATATATATAATTTAATCTGTAGAAACATGAGTTGCAACAAAAGTGCAAACACAGGGTGTCAAGAATGGCAGATGTCATATGTAATAAATGTAAAATAACATTTAATGAAATAATAACATAATGACATAATATTAAGTTTATGAACAACATTTTCTGCTTTCAAGCCAAAAGCCAGTTCATGAAAAGCTCAGGTTACATACTTACTCAAATAAGTCCTGAGTCCTTACTACTGTTACTATAGCGTTACGGTTAGGGTTTAGTTTA